GCGCCTCCGCAGAACCCCCCGAGGCCCTTGCGGCGGGGATTTGGAGACGGGGGGAAGGGGGCCGGGCGAAGGGCCTCGGTGGGGCTTTGAAGGAGGCCGCTAGGAAGGAAGGGGAGGCGAGGGCATAACATGGCGCAACGCCATGTAGGATAATCTCCACCGCGACCGAGGGAGGACGAGCCCATCGCTGCTGCAGCGCGAGGAGGAGGAGGCAGGCGGCCAGGGCTTGGATATCCGATTCATTCTCCGAAGCCCGCGGGCTGTTAGGAGGAAACGCTGCGGCGGCGGGGAGGTGGGCACCCGGTGGGCGCGGCGCCCGGGGAATAACCCCAACGCACGCCGGGGCTAGTCCGGCACCCGAGGATCAGGTTGCAGGGAAGGTGCTGATTGACAGCGGGGCGCCCAAGGGGTGAGGCCGGCTGCATGCGGGGAGGGGATGGAGGCGTGGAGACAGTGTCACGATGCTGGGACTGGAGCCCGCGCTGGGGTTCCCTGACGGCCCTGCTCATGGCCTAGACCACCTGGAACGCGTCGCGGGAGCGGGGCTTGGTGCGTTGCTGGCCCCGAGGTGGTGCCAGGGCGGTGACGGATGAAGAGAGAACTGTTGTGCGTCTGGAGGAGGCAGGACCAGGGTGTTCAAAGGGTAGCGTCTCCGGGTTAAAGTGGGACCATCTCCTCTTCTTTCCTGCAGAAGAGGAGGCGGTAGACGCTGCCGGAGAAGATGTCGGGCCAAACGCTCACAGATCGGATCGCCGCGGCTCAGTACAGCGTGACAGGCTCTGCTGTAGCAAGAGCGGTCTGCAAAGCCACCACTCATGAAGTGATGGGCCCCAAGAAAAAGCACCTGGACTGTAAGCATCTTTTTATATAAGTGGGCCATGCGCACGGCCAAGACCTGGGATGCTGGCAACGAGGCCTGGGCTCCCTGTGGATAATGCTGTGGCCTTTGGAACTCCCAGCCAGGTTGACCCTGAGCTTGACATCTCCAACTGTGGAAGTGTCGCCTTGGGCCAGCCCTGAAGCCTTGCCTTTTGAGCCATATTTTCCTCCTGTTAACCTCCAAGGTCTTGGAGGAGGGAAAAATATAATATGAGTATATTATATTGTATATAAAATAAGATGCCAAGAAATT